TGCAACTTTCGAGTGTACAACACAGTATTCTTAACTGAAGTCAACATGCTTTCCATAGACCCCCATAACTTACTCATTTTATAACTGGAAGTTTGTACCCTGTGACCAACATCTCATCTCCCCCACCCCCTGCCCTGGCAACCACCAGTCCCCTCTCTGTGTCTGTAAGTTTGGCCTTTTTTAGAGTCCACATGTAAGTGAGGTCATACAGTATTTGTCTTTCTATGCCCGACTTACTTCACTTAGCACATAATGCCCTCAAGGTCCATCCTTGGTGTCACTGTAATTTTCATTCTTGTATGGCCCTTCTATGACTTAGGAGTCAGGATTACTGTATTGATCACTGGACTAGCAATATGGTGATCACTGGTGATTCTTTGAAAAGCAGTTTGTGTGGACTGGTGGGGTCAATGCCCCGTAGGAGTTAAGTTCAAGGGAGAATAGGAGAGGAAGTAAAGACAGTGAGTTAAAGAAGAAGAGAAGAAAGAAATAGCTGGCGGGGACAGTAGGGTTGAGGAAGAAATAGCAACAGGTTTGGGACTTTTGTTTTATTTTTTGACCCTTAGGGACAGAGGATTAAGTTATTCATCTTCTTTAGTTCGTGAGACATTATCAGTCTTGACTCTTTTAAACCCCTCTCTTATTTTATTTTTTCCCTTTTATCCCCCCATTTCCTTCTGCTCCAATAGGCAATTACTCTAGTTTCTATTTCCTTTGTTTCTAATCTACATACAGTAGAGTTCCCCTTTTTTGGTGTCCAGTTCTATGAATTTTGACAAATGCATAGTAATGTAAGCACTGCCACGGTCAAGGTATAGAACAATTCCATCACACAAAAAATTCTCTCCTGCTGCCTTTTCTGTCATCAACATGTCCCATGTGCCACAGCCCCGTGCAGCCACTGATAGATTGTCTTTCCCTATGATTTCCGCAATCTTATCTTTTCCAGAATGTCATTTAAGTGGAGTCATACACTGCATAGTCTGGATTCGTTCACTTAGCTTGTGCATTTGAGGTCCATCCACGTTGCTGCGTGTATCAGTAGTTTGGTCATTTTTATTGCTGAGTGGTATTCCACCGTGTGAATACACCACACGCTGTTTATCCATTCACTGGTTGAGGACATTTGGGTTATTTCCAGCTTTGGGTGATCATAAATGAAATTGCTCTAAACATTTGCATAAACGTTATTGTATAACTATAATAGGTTTCATTTCATATGGGTAAATACCCAGGAGTAGGAATTCTGGGTCATATGGTAAGTGTATGTTTATAAGAAACTGCCAAACTGATTTCCAGATGGGCAGTACCATTTCCATTCCCACCAGCAAAGTGTAATGGTTCCAGTTACTCCATATCCTTACTAGCCCTTGGTATTGTCAATATTTGTTAGTTAAGTGATTCTAAGAGGTGTGTAGTAGCATTTCCTTGTGGTTTTAGGTTGTATTTCCACAATTGCAAGTGGTGTTAAACACCTTTTATGTGCTTACTTGCCACCCGTATGTCCTCTAGGTCAAGTGTCTGACCAAGTTTTTGCCCACTTATTAGTTTGAGTTGTTTTCTTACTGTTGGGTTTTGAGAGTTCTTCATGTAATCTGGATATCCTTTGTCGGATATATGACCTGCAAATATTTTCTTCCAGTCTGTAGTTTACCTTTTTATCTCTTTTATCTCTTGCAGAGTGAACGTTTTAATTGTTATTAAAAAGTACAATTTACCCAAAAAATAAAATAAAATAAAAAGTACGACTTAACAATTTTTCTTTTATGGATCATGCTATTTGTGTTGTGTCTAAGAACTCTTTGCTTAGGGTGCCTGGGTGGCTCAGTTGGTTAAGCGACTGCCTTCGGCTCAGGTCATGATCCTGGAGTCCCGGGATCGAGTCCCACATCGGGCTCCCTGCTCGGCAGGGAGTCTGCTTCTCCCTCTGACCCTCTTCCCTCTCGTGCTCTCTATCTCTCATTCTTTCTCTCTCAAATAAATAAATAAAATCTTAAAAAATAAAAAGAACTCTTGGCTTAAACCCAGGCCATAAAAATTTCCTCCTGTGTCTTTTTTTTCCTAGAAGCTTTATAGTTTTATGTCTTATGTTTAAATCCATGCTCCATTTTGGGTTAATTTTTGTATAAGATATAAGGCTCATGTACCACGGATATATGTACTGCACATATGTGTTCCTTGCCTATGGCTCGCTTATTGGGTTTCTTAATAACTTTATTGGTTTTTCCTCTATGTTGGTCTGTTTTCTTTCTCACTGATTTTCACTCCTATTTTTATTATCTCCTTTCTTCTAATAACTTTGAACTTAATTTACTCTTTTTCTGGATTCTGAAAAGCTTAGAAGTTTATATCATTGACTTTATACCCATCTTCCTTTCTAATAAAGTAACTTAAAGCTATAAATTTCCCTCTACATGCAGCTTTACCTGCATCCGGAAAATTTTGGTATCCTGTATTTTTATTATCATCCAATGCAAAATATTTCAAGACTCTCCTCATGATTTTCCTTTCTGACTCATGGGTATATTAGAAGTGTGTTGTTTAATTTCCAAGCATTTGGGATTTTTTACCTATCTTGTTTTTTGGGATTTTGATCTAATACCCTTGTGGTCAGAGTTTTGCTTTATATTCCAGCATCTGGTATATGTTGGGAACCATAGGATGTGCTCCTGAAAAGAATGTGTATTCTATAGTTGTTAGGCATAGGGCTCTATAAATATTAATTTGATCAAATTGGTTGATAGTGTTTTTCAAATCTTGTATCTTTACTTGTACCATTTACTGGAAAAGCGTGTTAAGATCTTCAACTGTAACTGTGGTTTATCTGTTTCTCCCTTCAGTTTTGAATTTTTTTGCTTCAGGTATTTTAAAGTTGTTATTAGATATATGTATATATTTCATATTGCTCTGTCTTCTTGATGAATTAATCCTTGTATCATTATAAAATATTCCTCTTTGTCTCTAGTTGGACCCTTTGTCTTGAGATCTACTTTTTCTACTATTAATGTAGCCACACCAGGTTTTTTATTCATTCCAGTCTTTTAATTTACATCTGTTGCTGTGATTTAAGAGTATCCTTTTTGTAAGTAGCATATAGTTGGGTCTTGCTTTTTCATCCACTCGGAAATGTCTGCCTCTTAGTTGAAGTAAGCAACCAGTTTTTAACATCCATTTATGCCATTGTGTGTCCTTTTAATCCACTGCATGGTTCTCCCTGGTGTGTACCCCCCATGTTGTGTCCGCCCATCCTGCCTGTGATTCAGCCCTGGATGCCTCCAACTCCCCCATCAAAAATACTATTGCCTTGAACATCCTTGTACAGTCCCCTTAGCTGGCTAAGATTCCATTTGGGATGTTTACACAGAGTAGAGTGGGTGGCTTGCAAGGTTTGCCTATACTTAATTTGACTAAGGATTGCCAGATGTAACAGTACGTCCACATGGTGATGGGAATGATCCAGAAGGGAGAGCAAAAAGATGATGAGGAAAGAGTGGGGAGGCTTGCAGTTGTCCCATGCCTGAGACAGTGGGGCTGGAACCCACTGTACAGGTGGAGGGGTTTGCCTCGGCCAAGAACCAGGACAGTTCGTTCCCAGAGAAGGAGGGAAAGCAGATATTTGGGCCAATACAGGTAGATGGGTAGATGTGGGGTTGGGAGCTTGGAGAAATTTTCTTCTGTGACTTCTGTTTTCTCAGTGATGTAGGAAGCAACCTGACAAAGGATGGGGGAGGAGGCACTGGGAATTTAAAGAGAAGGAAGGTATGAAAGAGCTGTCTTGGATATCGGGAGCATGTGTGGACCAAGGCAATGGAGCCTGATTGCTGGGCACTTTGCAGGGCACAGTGGGCCTGAGCAAGAGCCAGCAGGACTCATGGGCGAGGCCTGGGTGCAGGGCAGCCCAGCGCAGGGCTCAGTGTGCTCTGGTTCACAGTGCTGTACATCTGGCACTGCACTCGGTTCTGTGGGCACAGGGTGGGCAGCTCAGGGCAGCTCACAGCACTCACCCTGCAGTGGGAGCGAGTGAGCAGCTGTGAGATAATCATGTGCTTACTGTTTTGCAGGACACCAGGGGAGGCCAGGGGCCGTGACAGTGCAGTGGGGATCATGCTCCCCATTTCAGTGGGAAGTTCTGTAATTCTTTGAGCCTGCTGTTCAGCGAGGCACTCAGTGCTGTTTTGTCTATAGCTTGATGTGTTGTAGAAGTGATGCACGCCGTTCCAAAAGAAATTAGAAAAATGTAAAAAAAACTCTTAAATAAAGAAGTAAAGATCACCTGAAATTGACTTCCCCCCCAGCAAAGATAGCCATGGTTAATTAACGTGGTTAATTAACATGATTAATTAACCATGGATGTGTTATTATTAAAGAATGTGTTTATTATTAAAGTATTATTACAATATTATTATTATTGGATATGTTATTATTAAAGGAAAGGTCTGGTCCCTGCCCTATGGGCCCTTGTGGTCTGACCTCCTACCCAAATGTGACTGACACCCTCACACCAAATGCAGCCAAGCAGCAACATGTTAGGCTGGATGGGCCAAGAGTGGCGACCTCCACATTCCTGGGGGAAATCAGGGAGGGCAGCATGGAGAAGGTGACCCGGGAATTGGATCTCAAAGGCTGAGGTCCCCTGAGTTTGTCTTGTTGTCTTTTTTCCTCCCACCTCCCTTTGTTCAGTGCCTCTCTAGGATAAGACCAGCTCCCAGCCCCCATCCCACATGTAGCTGAGAAGGTGACACACTCTAGATGCAAGTGGAGGGGGCCTGCTCTGTGTGAGGAGCAAAGCAGCAGAGCATCCATGAGGCACAACTCCTGAGTGTGTCATTCCACCATAGCCATTCCATTTGTGCAGTGCACAGCCTGTGGGGCCATACATGGTAGTCATGTAAGGAGAGTCCCTTCACCCCTACTTTAGCGCATGGCCTGGTTCCCACATTGGAGCAAGAGGAGGAACGGGGCACTTGTTCCACCCTCCCTGGGTCTGTGTCCCCTTCCAGATAGCAGCGACAGTGAGCTGGAGCTGTCCACAGTGCGCCACCAGCCGGAGGGACTGGATCAGCTGCAGGCACAGACCAAGTTCACCAAGAAGGAGCTACAGTCCCTCTACAGGGGCTTCAAGAACGTGAGTGCTACCCATCCCTCCGGGAGAGGCCCTGACCCACCTAGCCCTCCTGTCCCAGGCTCTAGGAAGGCGGGACCCTGGCCCAGAGAGACCTTCTAGAAACTTCTCCATGGCATAGCAAATATTCCAGGGGCCTTTATGGGTCTTATGTTGTGTGGGAGAGCTGTCTGGGGTTGGTCAGGTCCCAGAATCAGTATTCTGAAGGCACCATCCTTTCTATGTGTTCCCAATGCTGGCACAAGGGAGGAGCGAATAGAGGGACTTACCACTTACCCCTCCTGCATCACCCGGCTTTCCCCAGCTCTGGGGCTCAGTAGAGCCCAGCAGTATCTCAGGCAGCAGTATTCCCAGAGGGAGGAGAGAGGCCAGGCCCTGTGGCGTTGGGGTGTGGGGCTGGGGATGGCTGAGGTCACTGAAGGGTGACTTCCTGCTGCAGGAGTGTCCCACGGGCCTGGTGGACGAAGACACCTTCAAACTCATTTACTCCCAGTTCTTCCCTCAGGGAGGTGAGTCTGAGGCCAGACCCTCTGGCTCTTCCCCAAATCCCCACATCCCCACCGTGGCAGCTCTACAAACAGTGGGTGTCACTTTGACCGGGAGGGGATGCTTGCCTCCACCCTTCGCCTGCCAGAGGCCTGGTGCTGCCTCTGTCCTGTTGGAAGGGCGGGGAACTCCAGCTCTGGATGCAGCTGGACCCAGCAGTGGCGCCGCCTGGGCTGGGAGCCCCAGCACACCCCAGCGTTCACCCTTGCTCTCCCCAGATGCCACCACTTATGCACACTTCCTCTTCAACGCCTTTGACGCCGATGGGAATGGGGCCATCCGCTTTGAGGTAGGTCCCCGATGACCCCCTCCCACATCCCCTGTCCCTGTAGCCCCCCGGGGGGCGGGGAACCTCCCTGCCCTGGTGTCTGTCTCGGGCCTTCCGGAGGCCCAGACACGATCCTGGGTGCAGATGGTCCAGTGTGTCCTCCAGGGAAGGAGCGGACTGTGCTCAGCTGGCCCTGGGCCTAGCTGTGAAGGTAGGGAAATGTGATGTGGCCCTGTGGCCACCCTCTTCTCACTCAGCCTTTTCTTCCATTCCAGCCACACCAAGCCAAGAGAGCTGCTAAGGTACACCGAGGCCATAGGAACCCCATGTGAAATCGCATTTGAAAAGGGGGCAAGGCTTCACTCAGGGGTCTGTGCTCCTGGCAGGATTTTAGGCACCCAGCCCCAGAATTTATCCCTAGCCTGAGCGGGCGTGGCGAGTGAAGCGTGGGGTGCCCGCCTCCGACACCTGCCCCCCAGGAGGGCCGTGCCTGGGCTCCGTGGGCTGGCCCAGCTGTGGGCTCCACGCCGGCTGGTCACACGGGACCATTTGAGAGAGGCCCCGTCTGTGGAGCCCAGGCCCCTAAAAATAGCTGCAGGCGAAAAGCTGAAACCTCTTTAGAGAGGAGAACCTTGTTGAGAGCCTGGCCTGATCGATAACCACCCTGCTCGGCTTCCAGCGCCAAGGGCAGCTGACAGGAAAGCGGAGGAACGAGCCGGCCGGGCTCAGAAAGCCCCGGACGCGCTGGGGTGTAATAATAACCCGTGGGTAATGCCGCTCGGTTGATTTGTGTGCCGCAGCCAGCCTGCACGGGGCAGAGCGGGGGGTGGGGGAGCTGTCAAGGCCACAGTCTTGCCCGGTGACCACAGGGGCCCCGCCCGCCCCGGGCTGCAGGCTCGGGCTGGTGCTGTGGAAGTACAGTGTTCATCTGTCCTGTCTTCAGTGACACCAGCACGTGGTAAAAACCCAAGTACCACAGAGGTTGACAGGAAAAATTGGTCATCCTCCCCTGTGACCAGGCTCTTGTGTATCCTTGAGGGGGCACCTAAGATTTCCAGGACTAAAGGGTGAGGAGGAATCATGTGAGGGACCCAACCAGGGCTCTGGGAGAGACCTTCTCTTGTTCAGAAATCAGCTGATGGGACAGCTCCCCAGGGTCCCGGTGCGCGGTGGGTGTCAGGAAGGTCTCTGTCACCCTCCTGTGGTCTTTGCTCTCACTCCCCTGAGGGAGGGGTCAGGCTGTCCCTTTAAGTGGTAGGTGGCGGGTCTTTGTGGGGTGTTCTGTCAATGGCTGAGTTGGGGGCACTGGTGCCAAAGCCCCTCTGCTAGGCGCCTTCTCAGAAGGTCAGGCATCTCTGGCATCATCCCGGGCCTTCTGCGGGCTTCTTTGCCATGAAATCAGCTCCTCTGGTTCCATATGCATATGTTTGTTTATCTTGAGGACCTACTTGATTTCAGTGTTCTGCTCTAGGAAAGCTTTTTCAGAAAGAGAGGAGGGCACGTATGTCCTCAGGGACCTTCCAGGCAGCAGGGCCCAATCCTGGGTGCACCACGGGTTGGGATCCCCATGGCAGGAAGGACTCTGAGGGGTGAGGGTGACTCTTGGCCCGCCTGAGACGGACTCTTCCCATGTGCCCTTAAAACAGAAAGTCAGGTCAGCTTATTGATAATGATAATGATCCCAGTCCTTGTTGAATACTCTTGAGAGACAAACACATATCAATTAAAGTTTATTGATGTGGTAAAATATTGTAACTTCCCTAACCCTCACCAAAAAGAGTACCAGAAAACAAAACAGCACCCAAGCCAACCTCATCTTTGCCAAGCGGGAGCAGCTGTCCCACCTCAGGGTCTGCTTGCTGTGCTGTTCGTCTTGTTATGGGTCCTCTGGGATGTGCCCACGGGAGGGAGCCTGGTCTCGGCCGGCCCCGGCCCCGGCCCCGGCCCCGGCCCCGGCCCCGGCCCCGGCCCCGGCCCCGGCCCCGTGCCTGCAGATAGATGCCCCAGAACCCTGCATGCCATCCAGGGCCTTTCTCATTCAACCTACTTGCTGTGCCAGCACGCTGCTGCTCTTTTGGGGCGTTAGGGCCGGTTGTGTGTCTGGAGGAAGGGGCAGCCGCCCCTCCCTGAGCTCCCTCTGCAGTAGCCCCCTCCCTGTCATTCATTGGCCAAACCCCACGTGAGGGCAGTAACCGGAGAGAACGTGTGCAGGCCCGTCATCACACCCTCTGCTCCCCTGCTCTGGCTGAGCGCCCGTCCCCGGTGTGCACTCAGCGGTGTCTCAGCCTGGGAGCGCAGGCCTGCGTCACCGTGCCACGGCAGGGCCCCTCATGCTCCCTGGGCTCTGCCTCAGGGACACAGCTGCAGAGCAGGGGCTGTGGAGGTGATGGACTTCATTTGCCTTGGAGTTAAGATCAGGGGTTACAGCTAGGGATAGTCCCACATGAAACTGTGCTGTGTGGGGCAGGAAATTTAGAACTGCCAAGTACTCGGACATGTGTTGGCAGGACATGGGGTCCTCTGTGGGTTATGGAGGATGGACCAGTGGCCTCGCAGGAGACATTCCCACCCATCTCTGGCCAAGTACCATCACCACTGTTCTACCTACACACTTAGGGACTTGGAACGGAGACATTCCTCAGTTGGTTGTGGCTGACTTCAAGGGCTGCGGGGCGGCAGGCCTGGGTCTATGAAGACAAGACGGTGGAGGGGGGCAGATTGTGGTGCTGGTGCCCCCCGCCATGGCCCACACGAGAAGGGAGGCCCTGTGTGGGCCTCGCCATTCCCTGCGGTCTCGAGTGGGACTGCATGCCTTTGCCTCCCACTGGGAAAGCCTGTCAGATCCCGGGGACGTGATTTCGGGGAGGCTCTACCTGTTCTCTAAATCATGCGCAAGCTTCAGTGATGATTCCCCAAACTTGGGCGTATAGGAACTATCACCTGTTTCTCCTTTAACATTTTCATTTTCTTCACTGACACACACACGGCAGGCTTTGCGAGCGCCACAGAGTGACAGGGTGTGCCTTGGAAAAGCAGCCGTGAAGCACCCACCCACACACCCAGCGAGGCCGCCACCTTCTGCTGTAGCCCGTTGCCATTGTTTGTCTCCATGTCCCCAGTAGCACACGTGGTGCTCCTTCCCGGCTGCCCGGTTCTAGACTACTGGCTCTCTGCTGGGGGGCGGGCGAGGAGCTGGGTCTCCCACGGGCGCACACACCTTTCCCATATCCCCTGGCTTTCTGGAACGATAGGATTCAGGTGAGATAAGGACTGTGGTTTACTCTGATGGTGTGACTTTGATGCTCAGCTGAGCCTTCTGGTGAACTGATTATGTTTTCCTTTCCCAGCACACATTCTTATTTTGCCGCCAGTTAAGGGTGGTCCTGATTGTTGAGTTGCCTGGGGGCTGTGATCTTATCATGAATTCAACTCCAGGCCTTTCTCCAGTGTCCGGGCGGGCATCTCCCTGGGGCCGCTCCCCAGCCTCTTTCCCCCCAGGGTTGGGTCTCCAGGTTCCAGAATGCCTCATCTTCCTCTTCCTTGCTTTATTCTCCCTTTTCAGGGGTACAGCTACGAGCAGGGAGGTAACTTTTCGTCTTTAGATGTCCGAAAGCATCTTCAGTGCGGTCCTGCTCTCGCCTGATCACTGGATGGGACCAGAGCTACACTTCGCAGTGGTGGTGGCTGCACTTCGGTGGCTTTTGGCCTCGTGTCGCCACCAGAGGCAAAGCATGCCGAATCCTGACCCTGTGTGCGGGACCTGATTTCATTTGTTCTGTTTGGTTGTGTTTTTCTCTCTGGAAGCTTGTAGGATCCTCTTTTTGCACCTGGTGCTTGCAGGGCAACACAGTAGGCCGTTCTGTACGCTGTGCTTGGCCTTGGCAGGACCTGGACGCTCCCAGCCTTCCATCCTGGGAGGTCCTTCCTTGTTTCTCCGGCCTGCTTTCCTCCATCTCCTCCAGGCCCCCCTGGACTTCCTGGTGCACGAGCCGTGGTTCCTCCGGAGTGGACCTCTCGTTGCCCTCTTTTCTCTTTTCCAGCTTTTTGCTTTTTCACATGACTTTATGGAAGATTCCACGTGCCCTTCCAAACCTTCTTTTGAATCTGTCATTTTGCTTTCTTATTTTTAATTCCCAAAAGCTCTTTCTTATTCTCAATAACTCCCCTTTTGTAGCACCCTGTTCTTATTTTGGAGGTGACAAATGTCTAATCTCTAGTTCTAGTCATTTTTGTTAAGTTTTTTCCTCCTGGAATAAATTTTGTTTCTTCCAGACTGCTTTCCTGTTTCCCTTAGGCTCTCTCAGGTACAGGCCTCCTCAGATCCAGAAAATCTGATGTTCGAGGAGCAGCTCCTCCTTGTTCGAGGATCAAGCCCCCCCTTGGTGCATGGCCTGGCCCCCTGTAGTTCCATCATCCTCCACTCCCTGTCCCAGGACAGCCCTGCTCTGCTCCCTTCTTTCTGAAGAACCTGGGAGGACCCCATGGGGCAGGGAAGGCTCACCCTGCAAGCCTTCTGGGAAATGGAAGAAAGGGCTTGCTTTCCATCAACTATTAGAGCAGTTGGAGTTTTCACAGGGAAGCCGCTGGAACATTCATGTCTTGTAACATTATAATAAATTATGTGCACACCTCAGAAATGATTGCAGTACACAGGCATGTCGTGACCCCAGAGCTGAGCACTGTTAGTTTAGCTTTTAAGCTATAAGTTTTCAAGCACCTGACATGCAGATCCTTGGTGAACTAAAAGTAGAGCACCCCCCCTTTATTAAAAGAGCACCCTGGGTCTTCTCTATAAGTAGTCATGCATTAAATGGGTCTAAGACAGCATGTATTTGAATATCTTTATTTGAGAAGATCAGTACCAGCCACCATGCCACACACACACACACACACACACACACGCTCACGCGCACACACACAAACACATGCTCATACACATGCTTTCGCGCACGCACGCACATGCACACATGCTCATACCTGCACACATGCTCACGCACTCATGCACATGCTCACACGCATGCACACTCACTCGCGTGCGCACGCATGCACATGCATAGCCTCACACTGTGTTGACCTAATGGACACCATCTGCTGGCACAGCAATGAAGCCGCCTCACCTGTGAAGGTGTGAAGTGTGAAGCCACACAGCAAACTGGAAATGAAATCTGGACGTTGGGCTGTCACTCCTCACCCTCCCCTCCCTCCGTAGGACTTTGTGGTTGGCCTCTCCATCCTCCTGCGAGGAACAGTCCACGAGAAGCTCAAGTGGGCCTTTAACCTCTACGACATCAACAAGGATGGCTACATCACCAAAGAGGTACAGGGCGGGGGGGCAGGGGCCACCTGGCCCGCTTCCCCACTGCTGCACCGTACTCCCAGCCTCTCTCCACTCCCCTGCTGCCCCGGCTGCCCTGTCTCCCTTTCCTGCTCAGAGACATGGCTCTCAGCTCCACCCTGGAGGGGACAGCAGCCTGGGGGCTCTCCCCCTGTCCAGGCTCTTGGTCCTGGACACCTGGGTGCAGGGAGCATGGTGCTTGTTGTGTGCCCCTCATCATGCAGCTTGATCTAGTTCGACAAATGTTCTCAGGCCATTCTTTCTCACAGGGAGGTCCTGAGGGAAACCTAGGTGGAGAAGCTGGGGACAGAGGGTAGGAGGTGTTGGCCTTGGCTCCCACCAGTCAAGGGGGCAGTGTGCTCCCTGAAGGCAGGTGGGGGCCCTCGCCATACTGGCCTACGGTTAGGTTTTGTTTAGCCCAAACGTTTTTTGGTATATGAAATAGTCGCTACAGTTTCAAATTTTGGAGATGGCACATCAGAAGTGATCTCTAGCTTTGGCGAGTCAGAGGCTTGCGCTGAGTGCACTAGATGGGGGTGAGCTTGTCCCCGTCCACCTGGGGCACCACCCCTGCTCACTCACTGCTGCCTTGGAGGTGCCCTCCCCCCTTCAACGCAGCCCCTCCCCTTGGGCTCTGGTACGTCCCCACGTCCTTGCAGCAAAGCTCACACCAGCCACTCCGGCCCCCCTCCAGGAGATGCTGGCCATTATGAAGTCCATCTACGACATGATGGGCCGCCACACCTACCCTATCCTGCGGGAGGACGCTCCTCTGGAGCATGTAGAGAGGTTCTTCCAGGTGAGAGCTCTAGCCCCGGACCCTGAGGGGAAGGAGGGATGGGCTCCCCATCTTAGGACAACCCTGGGAAAGTGACTCCCCTCTCTGAGCCCTCCTACCCCCATGAGGAGGTTAACCTTGCATCCCCCACTGGGCTGGTTGTCAGGATCCTGGGGAGCAAATTAAAACATCACCCCCACTCCCCGATCCACTGAGCCTCATCTCAGGGCCGTCCAGGGCTTGTGGATTCGAGGGCAGTTGACACCCCAGGCCAGCGTTCTGGTGCCTTCCATGAGCTCTCTCAGCCCCTCCAGAAAAACCGTGCAAGAGGAGTGGGGTTGGGGTGACCTTGCTCTGTGTCCACGAGGCCGAAAGGGGCTGAAGTTTCCACCTCCCATTTGCTGGCGGCCCATCCTGTGCCTTGGTTGCTCCATCTGCCCTGGCTGCCTTTTGGGGAGGTGAGGGGGTCAGATGAGCATGGGGATGCATTCTGGGAAGTGTAAGCCCAAGAAAGGTGCTGGGAAGTGGCTGGGTGTGGGGAGCAGCCTGGGGAGGTGCCAGAGAGGTCAGCTGTGCCACGGAGATAGCTGGGGAGGGCCCTTTACATGGCCTGGATCCAGGGTAGAAGACAGAGGGGACAGGTTGGGATGGAGGGGACCCACAGACTCACTGAGGACATGACTTGGGTTACAGAAAATGGACCGGAATCAGGATGGGGTGGTGACCATTGATGAGTTCCTGGAGACCTGTCAGAAGGTAGGTGGGCATCAGGAGTTGAGGACACCCAGGGTCCTGCCCCTGCCAGTCCCCAAGCCCCTCCCGACCTCCAAACTCCATGTTCACACCTTTGTCTGAACCCATCCCTTTGCCACCTGCTCCTGCCAGCCCACAGCCCACGGGCACACCATCCTTCAGATGCCCTCTGATGCTTCACATCAGAGGGGCAGACGTGGGCCAAAAGGAGGATGGTTGGGCCCTGGGGCCCTCAGCACGGGGCCACACTGGGAGAAAGGCGCCTGGAGCCTCCCCCAGCCTTACTGTTGACCTTCCTCTTCAGAGAACCCTTGGGGGCCATGACATGTGCCTCCGCTGGCCTTAGCCATCCGCATCAGTCCCAGAGCGGCCTCTCGGGTGCCTCTGGCCTCCACCTGAGTGCAGCCAGGGAAGTCTGTCCATCAGCGAGTCAGCAGCCCCCAGATGCGCTTGCAGTCAGGCTCCGGGGCTGAAGAGAGGCTGTGCCTGACCAGCTGCCCCTTCACCCGGGGAGACAGAGTGGTCACTGCAGGGTTCTGAGTCCCTGGCAAGAATCTGCTCAAGGTAGGATCAGTTTGGGCACGGCCCCGCCCTGCCCACCCGGGGTCTGACCAGGCCTCTCCTCCTTCTCTCTCCACACAGGATGAGAACATCATGAGCTCCATGCAGCTGTTTGAGAACGTCATCTAGGACATGTCGGTGGGGAGGGGTCCTTGAGTGGCCACCGCCACCTCTGCCCCCAGAGAAATCTCAGTCCTGCAGGAGCAGCCTCTATGAGAAACTTTTTTCTAATATATTTGCAAAAAGTGAACAGTTTGCTCTAGACACACACACACACACACACACACACAGAGCCGTTCCTTTGGGCTGGTAGAGGGGGTGCAGAGGTCAGGGAGAGGCTGAGTCTGGCTGGGAGCTGGGTCCAGGTGATGAGACCTAACCACCCGGCCAGCCCCCGACCAGCCCCGGCCAGCAGTGGAGTGGGGCTGCCTCTGGAGTGGGTGCTGAAAGAGCCATGTGTGCAGGCTGCTGGCCGCGGGGTGCTGCCAGGAAAGCACTCGAGATCCCCTACAGGAATGGGTCCAGTCTCCAAAACAAAGGCCCCGCTGGTGTGTCCCCTCGCCCCTCTCTCCCACCACCCTTCTTTCCCACCACACATCAGCCAGGTTGTGGGGGCTGCTCTGGCCTTCTTGTCCCCCAGATCTGGGGGGATCTGCAGATCTCCCCTGCCGCCCGACTACACTCCCAGGAAGCTTGTCACCACAGGACACTTGGCTGGCAGTAGGGTCAAGGTAGTTGGGACGAGGAAAGAGGTAGTAATGGAGACAGCCTGCTGTTTTCTGGAAACATTTCCCTGGGGTCCCCGGATGCCTGCCACTCCATTGGCAAGCTCCAGTGGTAAGGGGCCACTGGACTCTCTCCATCCTTTCAAGCTCAGGGATTGGGTTTCTTGGTGGAGAATCTTAGGGGAACTGTCTGCCAAGTCCACTGAAATGGAAGAAGGTTTCCCGTGCCTCAGTCCTAGCTCAGTGGGAATGAAGTGGATGGGGCTGCCCATACCCCTCAGGCCTAGAGCATTCAACCCCAAGGTCATAATACGTTCTATGAAGAGGTCACAAGGATCAGGGACTGGCAGCCTGGGAGCCCAGGTGGCAGAGCAGGCCTGAGAAGGGGCTTCTCCCTCCTTTCTTGTCAGCTCCTGTCTCCCTTGGCCCCCAGCTTGGATGAGCTCCCCCTACCACTTTCTAGTTACGGTCCTAGAGCAATGTGGCCATCTCTCTATACACAGGCTCACCCAACCCCATACAAAAAGCACAAGCACCCAGAGCAGCTAAGGTTGCAGCCTACAAAGGGAGCCAAGGACACTCTGTTTTTCCAAGATCGGGCCCTCCTAGAGGGCTGAGGCCTGGGTCACGGTGGCCCCCAATACAGGTAGCTCTGGAGAAGAAGCATGGGGATCTGTTCTGTGCCTCAGAGCCGTGCGGGCTCAAAGCCCATCCCCAGCCCAGCCCAGCTCACCAACATTCAAAAGCACAAATCGTAGGGACCCCTTGTCTGGGTTCTGCTCTGAGGATGGAGGCTGATGTCAGCCTGAAGGCAGAGCCAAGAGTGAGGGCTGAGGGGCCTGAGGCTGAGTGGTAGGTCAACAGAAACCCCCAGGAAAGAGAGAGGGGCTCCTTTTATCTGCCCAGGCCTCTCCAAGAAAGAACCCAGTCCCAGGTAGCGTGGGCCTGAGGAACATTCCCATACGATACATTCCACCGGCTGCCACCCACTCTCTGCTCAGGCCTGGCCCAGGGGTGAGCAGGGCCCTCAAAGGAAAGGTAGAATGGCGGAGGCCATGGAGATTGGCCTGGTTTGGCCACGGGGACCCCTTGGCACCCACACACAGGTGGTCCTCTCCCTCAGAATTATACTGACACCCCATCTCCAGTTTGACTGGGGGGGGGGGTCTTTCTTCCCTCCTCCAGGAGGGCATCAGCTTTCCCTGGCTCAGGGATCTTCTCCCCCTCTGCCCACCCCCACCCCCAGCCCAGCCCTCCCAGCTGGCGTAGCTGTGCTTGTAAGGGGCCGAAGCCATAGGAGAGGGTCACCACCATGCCCTTGCCCCTCTTGGCCTGGGGCCAGACTGGCTGCACGTCCAAGCAGGAGGGGTCTGTCTCCCACCCTGGGATGCAGACTGGCCGCATGTCTGCATGGCAGAAGCGTCTCCCTTGGGTGCAGCCTGGGAGGGTGGTTCCTGTTCTCAGCGCCCACCAATATTCAGTCCTGTATATTTTAATAAAATAAACTTGGCAAAGAAGAGGGACTCTTGTTGGCTTTATCCCAACTCTGGATTTCAGCCCAGCCCCTCCCATCCCTGCTGCTATTAGCCATGGCTCCTGCCCAGGGCTGTGCTGGTAAATGTTGACATTCCCTGCATCGTAGCATTTGCCATTGTCCACGCTCACTCGCACTCAGTCTGCTCCGCTCACTTTCGGGCTCCTGCTGTGATGTCACTGAAGGTGGAGCCGGGAAGGGAGGCGCACTGTTGGGAAGCCTTTACAAGAAGCTCCAGCCCTGCAAACTCTGCAGAGCCGGTGGGGCAGGGTGACTTCTTGAGGTGCCATTTGTATTTCATTCCCAGACCATTTTTCTTTTCCAGTTTTAAGAAGTCGTTTCTGCCGTGTCCCCTTGGCTGGAGGGTGCAGGTTACAGGGCAGAAGCAGAATCTGCCTGAAGATAGCTTCCTCTCCCGGTTTTATTTTCAAAAGTGTAAACTCAGTGAGAAGGAGGCCAGGGGCGCAGCAAGAAGTGAGAATCTGGCAGGGAGGAGAGGAAGGGCTTTCCCCAACTCAAGGATGGGAAGGAGGGAGGTTCTGGGGGGATCTGCAGTGCTTTAAGGACCAGACCCCACGCCATGTGACATCACTTCCACAGTGAACACAGACCCAAGCCTCCATGAGTCACCATGGTTTGGCTGATGGCCATCTCAGCAGTAGTTGGGAGGACAGGTGACAGGAACCCACTTCCACCACCACACACTCCAGAGACCCCTCTCCACCTGAGCCCCAGGGCCTTGGCACAGTCCAGGTAAGGAAGCCCTGATCTTGCTGTCTAGGATAGGGATATCCTGCATTTGCCGTGGGCTGACCAACATGCTGAGCATGTTTACTCTGGTCACAGCCTAAAGGGCACAGATGGGGAAGCTGGGTTAAAAGATCTTGGGACCTCTCAGTCATTGAAGAATGGAGCTAAGCAGGTGGCTCTAGGCTGGGTGTAAGCACTGACTCACTTCATGATGGTCTACAGAGCTCAGAGTGGGGAATGCTCATCCATCCATCATCCATCCTCCCTCCATCCGTCCATCATCCATCCTTCCACCCTCCTTCCATGCATCCATGCATCCATGCGTCCATCATCCATCCATTTATACTTCTGTTTTCCACTCTTTCACTTAGCACCTTCCTGACCTGGGCACTCAGTGCAGAGGTGGTGACCAGGGTATGCCTTCTGTGTGGCTGGGTGGCAGTGATGGGTCCAAAGGAGCCCTGGGTTCAGGGACAGGAGACATGAGTCCTGACCTGGGTCATAAAACGTATGTGGCCTTGGACAAGTCCCATCCTCTCTTGCTCTCTGGATGTTGGCGTAGAAGAGAAGGAGGGAACACTCCCAACTCATTTTAAAGAGTGGTATTACCAGGATTTTTAAAAAATCAGTCATAGGTAGGATAAGAAGGAAAAGTTACAGGACATTCTCCACTATAAAACAAAGATGTAAAAAAATCAGAATATCAGTAAACTCATTTCAACAATGTTATATGTACATGATATATATAATATATCATGACAGATTTGGGTTTATCCCAGAAATGCAAGGTTTACCATTTAAAAATATAGGCACCTCAGTTTCCAATAACATGGAGTGTCTAGGTAACTGAATTATTCCTTCCACTGAAAACAACTAAAAATGTAGAATAAATAACTTCTTAGAAACATCATTGAACTGACCAAAAGGTAAAGCATTCTTGGACCAGGAACTGAGTGGATGTGGAAATTCAGAGATGTAAGCAGAGCCCTGAAAGGACTTTTTGAAACAGGTGAGCTTGGCTGAGCTTTGGTTTCACATCCTTCCAAAATCTAAGGTATAAGAGATCAAGCCCAGGATCCACCCAGGTGAAAAGTCTATCAAGAAATCCTTCCTCCACAGAACTGGAGCCCCAATTACAGCCTTGGAGATAATGAGCGTGAAATAGAAACAAACCCAGCTGTTCCCACCGTCTTTCCCAGGAGGCTGCAAGAAAAGTTGACTATCTCAAGCCCCCAATAAAACTGGGAAAATTCACCCCTAAAATTAGGAAGGGGCACGAGGGGCACCTGGGTGGCTCAGTCAGTTGAACATCTGACGCTTGATTTCGGCTCGGGTCATGATCTTGGGGTCCTGGGATCGAGCTCAGCAGGGAGTCTGCTTGAGATTCCCTCCCTCCCTCTCCCTCTGCCCCCACCCTGCACGTGCACATGTTCTCTCTCTCTCTAAAATAAATAAATCTTCAAAAATATTAGGAAGCATGAGCTAAACTTTATGAGTTTGCAGCCCAAATCCAGAAGAAAATATGATTGAGAATTTAATTGGTAGTGATCTCTGTAAAGTCGAAGGAAAATGAGCAGATTTCAGTCAACAATGACTGAGTATTCAAAGAAACAAGACACCATAAGTGAGGTTTAGCAGAAACAACAGGCTGCATCAACAGACCCAGAGGGCTTCTGATAATGGAATTATCAGACACAACTATAAATGACTATATTTAATATGTTTATAGAAATAAAAGGCAAACTTGAAAATGCATGTTGAAAACACTATACTGAATGCCTAAGCATATCTGAAAAAAATAAAAACTTCTGGGGGAAAAAGTATATATATATATATATAGTGACTAAATTTAAAACTCAAGGAATGGGTTTAGCAATAAATCAGGCCCAGCTGACAAAATCATTGACTTGGAAATCAATCTAAAGAAATTATTCAAATTCTAACTCTGAGAAATAAAGAAATAGAAACTATATAGAGGTAAAGAAACAGAAAATAGAGTGAGAAAGTAAACCTTAAATCTCAATGTGAGTCCTGAAAAAAAAAAAAACGGGAATGGCCAAGAAGTTCCAGGCTTGACTTAACACTGTTTTTGTCATGGTTCCCCCGGCCAAAGGGGATGGGTGTTAAGGAATTGGCTCACATGATTGTGAGGACTGGGAAGTCTGAAATATGCAGGACAGGGTGGCAGGCTGGAAACTCAGGCAAGAGTTGAAGTTACAATCTTGAGTCCAAAA